ATCCGGGCAATCCCTGACAGGTTCATGCAAAGCTGGTGACACGCCCAGACGAGATGGGAAATTTCGTGCCCCCATTTCAAATTGCTCGCTGCTTTTGTAATCAGGGCTGAATCCATTTGATTTATAGTCACTTACATATAATGTGTATGATAGAGTTACAATTAACATTATAACAGCAGAACGATTTATACCAGCGAGTGTTGGTCTTCTCAAAATCGTTGGCTCATGTCAATTGACTCATCTGCCCCACCCCATTACTTATGGCTTGATTACTAAATATCTCAGTTATGAAAATAATCTCGCCTATTTTGGAGTGGCATTGAAACCGTGTTAAAACTTTCTTCGTAATTGGATGCATGTCTGGTGATTTTCCAGACATGAAGCTAATTTCGAAATAGTTATCTAGCGGTTTTTGGCTGATCAGACAGAACGGTAAAGGTCAGGGTCGAAGGAATGATTTTCTTCAGGATAAAGTCTTTGACCATTTGGAGGCAATCTACAAGAAAGGTATTCCGATAATTTTCTTTTGTCTTAGATTTCAGAGACGAAAAATTATTTATAGTTGGATTAACGTCCTCATCTTTGTTGTTAAAACAACATTTTAACCGTTGTGCTTTCCAAGTGTCTTCAAGTGTCAGCTGATCCAGATATCTTTTATGGAACTTCAAGCTGAACCGTTTATCAAATATAAAAACCAACAATTTAATCCACTATTTTTTTTGAGTAGCCTTGTGGATTAACGTGTAGATTCGTAATTGCGAGTTCAATTCCTGAGCTGGGTAGTACAGAATAAGTGTAACAGGATTAGCAATAACTGAGCAACAGTAAAATTATTACATGTGCAACTTCTGTATTATATTATATAGTTTCTATTATATTGTATAGTATTAAATATTTCTGCTCTGTGACTGAGAAACAAACAAACACACACGAAGAAACTTCAGGCAATATGGTCTGAAAACTGTGTTCAATTATTAAACTGACTGTTGTTTCTTGGTGCTGACCCCAGTGTCCACTTATATATATATATATATATATATGCATGCATATTACTTTATTATTTAGTGGATATCCGTATTTAGAATAGACGCCCAATTTTTATTTTAAACAATGTATATTACGTCTATCGGTCAGTGCATTCGAGAAATATTAATAAAGAAAAAATGGGCGTCCATTTCAAATACGAGTATTTACTAATAATAATGTTTGAAGTAATAATATATATATATATATATATATATTATATATATATATATATATATATATATAGAGAGAGAGAGAGAGAGAGAGAGGCTACGTCTGGGATCATAAAAAAAAGATTTCCATAGTATTTAAATGCGTTTCGGCACCATTCAAAATACACACATATATATAAAGCTGGCCTGAAGATCCATGTTAAGGTGAAACTTGTGCAGCCTAAACAATATTATTTTATATATATATATATATATATATATTAGAAAAGGAAATTAAAAACAAATTACACCAAATATATCATGGAAAATAAAGAAAACAGCATCAGCCTACACATATAAATCCCAAAACTAAACTTTGCCTGGAGGAGAAAATAGCTATAACCACCTTCTCCGACAAACGCATATTAGTAACTAAATAACCAGAACTTATCTCAAAATGCAGACATAAAAACAAATTTACTACGTTGCTTAAAAATCGAAAGCTAAAAACGAATACGTTTTATAATAGCACCATGAAAAAAAACAAAAAACAAATATATACACTATGTACAACACATGCAATATGCTTTAGGCAAAGCCAATGCTTTAAACTAAACAAATAAGATAGCCAACAGAAAAAAGAATTAAATAAATCTAACATAAATCTAAATGACTAATGAGTAAAAAGTTAACAGACGATACTGCAAAAATTGTAAATAACCGCATTTGAATCTACAATCATTTCTACTCAATAACCTCTAGAATAATTTGAAACATAAATCCAATAACCCTTAGGATAATGCAATAGACATTCTACCATAATGCTTCATTGACCAGGCTATATAAATAGTCGAGCCAAGATCCAACACACATGGCCTTAAGATTGCGTTCAGGCATGAAAGACCGACGCTACTCGATGTTAACATCAATTCCCACTTTATTATTTACATACGCTCTAGCTCTGATACCCATAATTATAACATAGCTTAAAACTCTTTCTCTCTCTCTCTATATATATATATAGATAGATATAAAAGGGAAGAGGTTATAGTTGTTCCAACGAGAGAAAAGTGTATACGTTAAAAAGAAGAGAGAAACCGCAAACGTTTTTGGTTGTAATGTGGATTTTTTTTTTTTTTATCATGGAAAATAAAGCATAATAAAAAATCCACATTACAACCAAAAACGTTTGGTGGTTTTTTTAATATATATATATATATATATATATATATATATAAAATTAATACAAGTAAACTGTTTGTCACTTAGCTTATTGGGGTTACTTTCAGCATCCCGACTCCAGAGTTTCGTAGACGGACACTCCGGAAATCATTCCATCCACTCGTCTAGGGGGATTTTAAATATTAGTGGATACTTCTTGAAATTTTAACCATAACCGAGAAAAAAATTACAAGGCCAAAATTCTTTTCAGTTGGTGTTTGCAATTATAATTATTAGAAAATGTATATTTTAAAAAAATTAATATCAATTTTGTTTAAAAAATACGCGAGAGAAAGAAAAAGATCTCGAGAATCGAACTCTTGTTTGCGACAACAGATTCACATATGGCACTATGATAAGATAGTCTATGCAGGATCAGTCAGTGGTAGGATTTGAAACCAGAACGTTTTATTACTATTATTTAAGACAGAAAAAAAAATTTGAATTTGAACCTAGACATTTATTGGCAGATCTTCTATTATTCCAACGCAGGATACTTGAGAAAAAAAATTGATAAAAACACAAACAAAAAGAAAAATTAGCTAACCCAGCAGTCGCCAACCTTTTGAACTTCATGGACCACTAAATGTATAAGTTTTTTTAATTTGGCGGACCACTAATATGGATTTAGGAAAAAAATAAGGTAAATATATTTATATAATAATAATCGGGAAACTTATTTCATTAATATGAAATGCACCCATTAAAAAGGTAACACAATTATAGCGTAATTATTTAAATTAAACAAATTGAAAATTTGAAGTTTATTCAAGTATTACACATTTTTAGTGTGGCAACTTTGTAATTGTGAGAGGTAGGCCCCAGTAAAAATAATAAAATAGTGTTTTTATTCATTAACACTGAATCTTTTACCGATTAAGCGTTTACAATGTCATCCGAAAATGTCGTCCGTATGGCGATTTGAAGTTTTTAACATCTAATAATTTTTTTTTTTTTGTTTTTAAATATTTTTCAAAAATAGTTTTCGAGTACAAATGCTTATAAATTTGTATCTGGTTTGTAAGCCGATTCTTGAAGATCCCACCATTACTCCGTTGCTATGCTATGTTTGTAGACAATTATACTAGTAAACCATCCAGTAACTAGTTATCAATAGTAATAGTAAGAAACTATTCAGTAACAAATATTGAACATGACTTATCAAATCATGTTAGGTTATACTATGGCTGGATGATGTTATATTTGTGTACTTGTGTTTAGTTCCAGATTACACAACATCTTGAACATATATACCATCCATAATACGTTTTGTTACTCGTCATTTGTGAATATGAAGCTTCATAAAAATTGAAATAATGTCTCAATTTTTCTACGGATCATCAAAAAGTTTACATACCACTAGTGACTTCATGCGCATGTGCAGTTACATCAACGGACGGAAACATGACTTAAGTCTGATGAAACCCTCAAGGACGAAACGCGTCACACACACACAAAAAAAATTCAACTTTATTATTAATTTTCCTAATATTGTTCTGGTATATAAAAATTAATATATCATTTTCTAACCCCCTCACATACACACGCTTAATCTTTCTGCTTTTAAAAATAAAAACAATCCTTTCGCAATATACAGTGTAACCCGGATGTAAGAGAGTTGTCGGGACCGGAGAAGAAGTCTCTTATATCCGGATTTCTCTTATATCCGGGTTTGGTCTATTTTGTTTAGGTAAGTATGGCTCTAATTTGGGACCAGATAAAATCTCTCTTATATCCGGTTTTCTCTTATATCCGGGTTACACTGTATTACCAAGATACAACCATTGATAAGGCATAAAAATTAATAATTAATTGAAATTAGATATGGATTTTTTTATTATTATTTCAAAGTTAATCGTTGTAATGTGTGTCATACAAGAGGAGCCTATCAGAACTTGAAGAGGAGAAAAGGTTGGTGTCGAACAACTCCAAGGCGACGATTGGCGAATCTGAAGGCATTAATGTGTCATAATCAATGTCAAATGACGTATTGGAGAATATTGATCACAAGTGAATGGAATAATTTTGTTAGGAAATTGATCAAAGGAATTTGTTTCAAGAGGCACCTGCCAAAAAAATAAAAATTTAAATAATAAATAAATAAACCTAAAAGATCTAAATGTTTCATTTTCACACATGTTGTTGTTTGCAGAGAGAAAGGGGAGTTTTTTTTTTTTTCAATGAAGTAATGTAACAGCGAGTTGGTCTTACGCTGACAATGTAGAGAGAGAGAAAGAGAGAAGTAGAGAGACATAGAGAGAGAGAGAAATAGATAGAGAGAGAGACAAATAAGGAAAGAGAGAAAAAAAAGAAAAAAGGAGAAAAAAAAGTCAGCACAATCAGGTAAAGAGGAAGCGAGAGAAGGGTGGGAGTAGAGTTAAAAGACAGAGGAAAAGTAGATTCAAGGACTGAGAGAGAAAGAGATAGAGAGAGAGAGATAGGGAATAAATAAATGCATGGACAGGGAGACAAATGAAGAAACAAGAGAAATAGACAGAGAGAGAGAGAGGCACCAAGACTGAATGTAGTGGACCTAAGGACTGAGAGAGAGAGAGAGAGAGAGAGAGAGAGAGAGGGGGGGTATGGTAGCAGACACAAAGAAGACTATGGTTGGAAGCGGAAAAAAAGGCAGAAAGAAAGAAAAAGAGATACAAGGAAAAGAGAGTAGAACAGGGTTTGACAAAACAACCAAAAAATAACCCCAAAACAAAAAAACAGTTCATGTCATCTGATAATTTAGCTTTTCTAAGAATTTTGCGCCTTTTCAAACCCGTAAATTTTAAAAAAACATCCGAGTCAAATAAATTTCAAAAGATAAAATTCATTTTTTTTTCTATTTTTTTTTTAAATATAATTTTCCAAATAATATAACCTCAAATTTATTCATCTTGAATTGAATCATGCAAACAAGACTATCCTTTGGTTGTCCCTTCGAACTTAAGGGCAGCATGAAAAGATATTTTCTTGTTTACAAATTAAATTTTTAAATTTAACACGTTTTTGTCAAACATTTGTTGATGGAAGTATTTACTAAGTCTGACACTAGGTAATACGTGTTGGGACAACTAGTAAGAAAGGAATTAATAAAACAATCATAATTGTTTGCCAATATAACATTTTACCATCAAAGTGACGTGATACCATTTGGACAATGTTGATTGTCATTTTCTGGATGGTTAGCAGCAGTTTCATTGTATTCCCTATTCTCCTTAAAACTTCCTCATTTCTCACATGCTCTGTCCATGGTATTCTCAATATTCGCTGACAGAACCACATCGCTTTTGCTTCTAGTCTATCTGATTGTTAGCACCAATTTCTTTGTAGTTCTTATTTTCCTTTTAAACTTCCTCATTTCTCACATGCTCTGTTCGATTTTTTTCTGTACCTGTTATTCCAAAATATCCAGCATTCGCTGATATGTAGGAAGGAAACGCATCATAGCATTAGGTATAAATTATAAATAGTCATGACCTTATTTTCAGTACATACTTTTAGAAATTTTTGCAGACAATGAGTGAAAAATATAAAAATATTTCACACAGAATATTATTTTGTAACAACGGCCTACATAATTCAATACCTCGCAATTATACACAAACAATTAATTTTATTAAATTATCTACATCCCAGTGACCCCATGGAGATGGGTTGGGTAAAGAGGAGTTATCATATTCTAGTTTAGCGGCAAAATGCTTTCTGGGATAGCAGAAGCCTGGGAGTGAGGTTGTCATTGCACAGAAAGATTTGGCAAAGTAGGTCTAATTTACAGGTCATTAGATGGCAACTTGAAAAAAACCGGTCGTCTGCTGCACCCGACAATCATTGTTAAGCAAACAATTTAAAAAAGAATACCAAACATGAAAACAGGATGGGACAAGTCATCAAATAGATAAAGCTTTTACCTACTTCCACACAAGGATTGGAGGTTGACACTTTATGAGTTTAATGTGTGTTCGTGCAAGGACAAAAAATGCGTTCGTGCAAGGACAAAAAAGTGACCAGTCCTGAGGACTAGTTTCACACAGGCAACAGGAACAATTCCACTGGAGAGGTGCTTTGCAGGGTCGGAATTTCTGCCGCGTCTTTTGCCAAGTCCTGTCCGAAGATGAATATATAAAATGCTTAGAATAGGAAACCTTTCAGACCCTTAAGGATAGCGTTGTTCTAGCAGTAATACTTGCCTAAATTCCTGACCAATGACAATCCCTTCATTCCTGATTTTCAAGGCAATTCTCTTATAAAATGATTAGCAATGTATAAATCCTCTCTCCCCAGCTATGGGTTGATTAGTAAGACTGGTTTCATTAAACCATTATTAATTAAGAAAAAATTCTTACAATCTAAAAATAGTTTTTTTATAAGCCGTAGAAAATGAATGAATCAATGAAATACTGATTAACTGTACATTATTACTACTTTTAGATTTATTGACATTCTCTGGCATATAAATGTACATAAATTGATGTGGCCATAAATTGAGTGATCAATTTATACATTGATTGTCATGTAGAATTGATCCCCCACTTTATATCTACATCATAGTTTCTTGTTTATCAAATTCTGATTAGGTATGAATCTACCTCTTCTCCCCAGCTATGGGTTAATTAGTAAGATTATTATAAAAAATATTACAATCTAAAAATATTTCTGTATTTAAATAACCTGCCTTAGAGAATGAATTAATAAAATTAAATTAAAATTCCCATGGAAGTTACAGTTGTCACAAAAAAACAATCCTCACTTTTCCTGATTCGATAGAGTTCAAAATAGTTTAACTCGGTTTAGTGATACACCTTTTACTAATTAACCCATAACTGGGGGAGGTGGATTTATGATTTTATTGGAGACAGCTTATTTACACTCTACAGCCGCTTTCCCCACAAAGTTGCTAACTTATTGCCATTACCATGACAAATGTCCAGATGAGCTCCACTATTTAGTTCCACCAGTTCAGAGATTTGCAGCCACGACTCGCCATGATGTGTCTACGGAATCAAATCATGCACATTTCCTCTGTATTCCACTGGTAATAAGGAAGGCAGCTTTTTTCCTCAAAAACTCCTACTTTGTGTAACAATATCCGGCGAGGATGCTTCCCTGAACACTACAATCTTACCCTCTTTAAGTCATAGAGCAATCGCTATTCACCCACCTTCTACACATTACCAACACATATAACAACTATAACAGGTCATGTACAAACCATATATCTATAAAACAAACATTTATCCTGAAAGCATAAAATTATATGCAAAATATATGTAGTTGAAGGCATATGATTACGTTCAAAACATTTAGATTTTAGGTCGATATGTTTCTAAAGAAAATCAACCAGGCCAAACCAAACAGTACTCACAGTGAAACACATTTTAACCGATTTCAACAAAACTTCACAGGACTACGGAAAATTACCTTGCGGTGGTTCTGACAGCGCCAAAAATTAGAAAAACACAATTGTTTTTGCACAAAATCAATTTGAAAACACGATTAAGAGGCATCGCGAAAATGAAAGGGGGACAACTCATATCGAGTTATACTTATTATAAAACCCAGGTTGTGTGTGTGTGTGTGTGTGTGTGTGTGTGTTCGTTTATATATGAGATCGGATTTCCTACATTTTTCAACCGATTTCAACAAAACTTCACTTTTTGGGGGCAGGTAGTGTTTCTTATTGTCTTGCACACTTTTTTCTTTATTTTTACATTCAGAATGCTTTAAAAATTCCATTTACAAGACAATTGTTTTTAATTCTATTCAATCGGTAGACTCATAACGATTGAAAATGTTTTTGTTCGAGTTTGGGTTTGACCAATTCGTAAACAAAAAAAAACAAAAAACAAAAAAAAAAAACTAATTAAGACATGCGTGTCCGTCAACCTTAAACAATAATCTTTTTCAATTTTGTTTTTCAGTCTTTATGATGGTCGATACTCGATCTATCTCTTACTGTTACATCCCCGGGCAACGCCGGGCTCTACTGCTAGTATATATATATATATATATATATATATATATATATATATATATATATATCGATAAAACATACACAAGCCTTCACAACTATAATCAAATCATCTATGTGGGTGATCTAAAAGTAAAATTGAAAATTAAATTATCACACCAATAACAATGGTGTGTGTGTGTGTATATACATACGAGTTTAATTATGCTCATGTGTATCCATACATATTCATAAACACAGCTTTTGGTTAACCAATGCTGAGTATGGTCAGTACGTAGATGGGTGACCACTAGGGAATACCAGGTGCTGTAAGCTTGGATCTACAGGTGCTGTAATGGATAATGGCTTGGAATTGTAAATCAGATAGTTCCAATTCCAGTTGGGTTTGTCATATTCACTCACATGCAGATACTCTTGGGAAAGGTATGGATCCACCTCTTCTCCCTTCAGCAATGGGTTAATTGGTAAGACGTGTGTCACTAAAACCATTATTATCTCAAAAAAGAAATAAAATCACATATAAAGATATTTAGATTTCAGCATTAAATAACCCATAGAGGTGTTGATATGCCGCTAAACAAAAACAACCATACCAAGTATGTCAAACTGCACTCACGGTGAAACACGTTTTAACTGAATGTACTCACTTGAACATAAATATGACAAGGAAGCCAACACGAAAAACTGTTTGAAAATAATGAAACCGTCAACATAATGTCCTATCTTGAAGGAAATAGATTTATTTCATCACGTATATCACAAACAACAGATAGTGAACACAGAGAGAGAGAGAGAGGGGGGGTTCGGTGGAGTAATGGATTGCATCGGAGAGCCTAGGGTGAATTCATGACATTCACTAATACCCATCTCCCCCCCCCCGTCTAAGCTATGTGTAAATAGCAGGACAGACCGAGTTCCATCGCCTTGGGTGGCAACCAGTCTAGGAGAAAGACAACTCTAAATTCAAAACCTGCAGAGGGTTGCCTGGAAGCCTTGTGGCATACCGTGCACCAGTTCTCTATATTTGGCTCTTCCAAAAAGAGTGTGGTTGGTTCTACACAATCCTTCACCGCTATAATCAAGTGTTATGGGTATATAGTAGCTTGGGTTTGGGTTCAAATTCTCATCAGAACACTTAACCTAAATATATATATATATATATATATATAGAGAGAGAGAGAGAGAGAGAGAGAAATGACTGATGGAAGCCATGTCACGTTTATGGGACAGTGACTGAAGTCGAGATGCCAGGTGAAGATCGATTATAATACAGACACTTCCTTGAATTTTGACAAGAATCTCCAGATATTTAGTAGAAGCACCAGAATAGATATAGCAACAGTATTCAGTGCAAGGACAAATGATAATGATGGTTTCTCCTACAAAGAAGGGTACATTTTTCTTTAATAAGATTTCTCGAAACGTTTAAGTCAAAAGATGAAATAAAATACTATTAAAAAAATAAATAAATTAGCATCTACTCTAATATGAGTATCCACTAAAAATAATGTCTAAGTAATAAAATTTTTTGAATAGATAAAACTCCATTTCTTTAAAAATTATATTATGTATTATAAAAATGATATATACAAGGCGAGGCAAAAGTCGTACACCATACGGATAATTTATTAAAAGTATAATT